AGAGAATGTGATTGGTGGATGCAATGATCTTACCATGCACCCATTTGCACGTTGTTCTCACGCTGGAGGCCACGTGTCATGCAGTCGACTGCATGACACGTGGCAGCAAGGGAACGACATCAACCTGGCAGCAGACGTGCGAGGAGGAGAGAACGGAAGAGGTGGACGTGGAGCAGGGGATCAGAATGGTGGCGGTGAGCGTTTGCGCTCCCGACGAGGAGGGGGAGATGGCGAGGTGCAATGTCACGCGGAGGGAAGAAGTACTCGTTGGAGGGAGACGCCGGATGAGGAATTGCCATCCCGACGTCCCGACCCTGGCCACGTGTCAGGCAGTCGAACCCGGAGATCAGTGGATGATTACAGTTTCAGCTCGGAGTCCTCCTCCATGGCACACATGCATAGTGACACCAGCGATGGATTTGTCGTTTTGTACGACTCTGGAGCACACTTGCTACGTGGACATCAGAACGCTGAGGGTCCACGCGATCGACACGTGTGCGCATGTCCCGACCCTGGCCACATGTCAGGCAGTCGAGTCAGGAGGGCTCTTGATGATTGCAGCTACAGCTCCCCCTCCATGCCAGATTCTGATAGCAATGGCAGCGATGGATTTGTCGTTTTGTGTGACCCTGGAGCTCGATATCTGCGTGAACGTCAGAACGCTGAGGGATCAGGTGATCGACACGTGTCCGCACGTCCTGACCCTGGCCACGTGTCAGGCAGTCGAGTCAGGAGATGTCTTGATGATTACAGCTACAGCTCCCCTCCATGGCAGATTCTGATAGCAATGGCAGCGATGGATTTGTCGTTTTGTGTGACCCTGGAGCTCGATATCTGCGTGAACATCAGAACGCTGAGGGATCAGGTGATGGACACGTGTCCGCACGTCCCGACCCTGGCCACGTGTCAGACAGTCGAGTCAGGAGATGTCTTGATGATTACAGCTACAGCTCCCCCTCCACGGCATATTCTGATAGCAATGGCGGCGATGGATTTGTCGTTTTGTGTGACCCTGGAGCTCGATATCTGCGTGAACGTCAGAACGCTGAGGGATCAGGTGATGGACACGTGTCCGCACGTCCCGACCCTGGCNTCGTTTTGTGTGACCCTGGAGCTCGATATCTGCGTGAACGTCAGAACGCTGAGGGATCAGGTGATGGACACGTGTCCGCACGTCCCGACCCTGGCCACGTGTCAGGCAGTCGAGTCAGGAGATGTCTTGATGATGACAGCTACAGCTCCCCCTCCACGGCATATTCTTATAGCGATGGTAGCGATGGCAGCGATGGCTTCGTTGTTTTGTGTGACCCTGGAGCTCGATATCTGCGTGAACGTCAGAACGCTGAGGGATCAGGTGATGGACACGTGTCATGCACTCGACCCATGCAGACGCTGCATAGTCATGGCAGAGCTGCAGAGGTTGGACTCGGGGATGGAGACGGTGAGAGCGCTGAACGTCGTGCAAATCATCAGACTGCTGGTGAGGGAGCGCTGTCCCGGCGCGGAGGAGGTGATGGAGAGTTGCAATGTGATGTGGAGAGAAGGAGGAACTGGGGGGAGACGAGGGACGAATACCAATCCCGATCCCAACGTCCAGATCCATGCCACGTGTCAGGCAGACAAGTCAGGAGATACGGAAATGATTACAACTCCTCCTCCTCCACACCACACGCTGATCGTCATTCTGTGCACTGTACTCTTGCTCCCTCTTTTCCTCCTCCTCCTCCTCCTGCTACCTCTTCTCCTTTTCCCCCTTCTTCTCCCTCTTCTCCTTCTTGTCCTTCCAGTCCCTCTTCTCCTTCCTCTCCCTCTTCTCCTTCCTCTCCCTCCTCTCCTTCTCCTCCTCCTCCCTCGCCACTCTCTTCTCCTTTTCCAGCGAAGAGACGTCTCTCTTCTCCTTGTCCAGCGAAGAGACGTCGGATGACCGGTGCCAGTGAAGGTAGGAAGGCGATGGAGGAAAGTAGTGGTGATGTGGCAGTAATGGAGCGGGCAGGTGAGGGAGGCATCAAGGAGTGCCACATGTCAGGTCCTCACCAGTTGCTCGTCCAGAAAGAGTGGGACGGTGTTCGTGCTGAAATGACCGAGAACATAGCGATGGGGAGAGAGACGCTTGGATTGCTCAAGACCGGGATTGGGCTGCTCGCGGCGAGATTCAACGGACATGAGCCATGCCACATTGAACTTGTTCCTTTTCCTGCTGATGATCAGTAGTGGCCGTCCTGATCAGCAGTCTTCGTTACGATCGTCGGCGACGGACTTGCGGAAAACTGTCATGATGGCTGTCCGCGTGTGTCATGACTCGTACGGCGTGCGCTTCAGACACCTCTGTGTGTGTATGTTTGTTTGTTTTGTGTGTGTGTGTGTGTGTGTGTGTGTGTGTGTG